GGCTCGGTGGGGCTGGGCGGCGGCTCCTCCAGCACTCCCAGCAGCACCTCCACCAGCAGCAGCGGTAGCACGACCAGTAGCAGCAGCAGTAGTAGCAGGAGGGCGGCTCGGGCTGGGTGGCGCGGCTCGGCCTGGGCAGCGCTGCTCAGCACGGCACAGCGCAGCACTAGCAGCGTGTGCAGCAGCAGCGCGCTGGGCAGCAGGGCGTTTTTTTTTTTTAATATTATTATTTATTATTATTATTATTTAGGGTTGTGGGGCGCGCTAGCGCGCTTTGCAGCGGGGCGCGCTGGCGCGCTTCGCAGTGGGGCGCGCTGGGCTGCGGGGCGCGCTGGCGCGCTGGGCTGCGGGGCGTACTAGCGCGCTAGGCTGCGGGGCACGCTGGCGTGCTTAGCAGCGGGGTGCGCTGGCGCGGTGGGCTGCGGGGCGCGCTGGCGCGTTTAGCAGTGGGGCGCACTGGCGCGTTTAGGGCTGTGGGGCGCGCTGGGCTGCGGGGCTGCTCGCAGGCAGAAGGGGCGCGCAGGGCAGGAGCTGCTCGCGGGCAGCAGGGGCGCTCGGGGCAGGGGCTGCTCGCGGGCAGCAGTGGCGCTCAAGGCAGGGGCTGCTCGCGGGCAGCAGTGGCGCTCGAGGCAGGGGCTGCTCGTGGGCAGCAGGGGCGCTCGAGGCAGGGGCTGCTCGCGGGCAGCAGTGGCGCTCGAGGCAGGGGCTGCTCGCGGGCAGCAGTGGCGCTCGAGGCAGGGGCTGCTCGCGGGCAGGAGTGGCGCTCGATGCAGGGGCTGCTCGCGGGCAGCAGTGGCGCGCGGGGCAGAGGCTGCTCGCGGGTAGCAGGGGCGCGCGTGACAGCAGGGCAGCGCGCTAGGGCAGGCAGTGCGAGTAGCTGCAGGGCAGCGTGACACTGTGCGAGAGGGCCGGACAGCGCAAGGGCGCTTCGGGCAGGAACTAGCGGAACGATCGGTGGGCCCTAAAAACCTAACAGGTTTCCTGCTCTGCATACCATGTCAGAATCAACTGTGCAGGAATGAGTTCAGTAGAAGGAATGACCAGTACAAGTAGTGAAACCCTAGAAGGGTTGTACTCCATGTAAGCTACCCCACTACAGCCTACAGTCATAGAAATGTAATTTGACATGTACAATTTTGTGACACGTCCCTATGTTGTGTCTTGCAGATATGGGTATCCCTTCAAAAGGCTCATAAACAATATGCTCATGATATATGGGTATCCCTTCAAAACGCTCTCAAGTTGTACGCTCCGATACTGGCCGCAGGTAAGCATCCATTCGAAAGCTATTGTGTTAAATGCGCTACTAGTGGTATTCATTCTGTCTTACTTACATCGCAGAGGCCAAGCTTGACAATGAGAGTACCATGCAACGCCTTGTGCTTTGTCTTGTCCCACCTGATGCAACGAGTTATGTTCATGTCTTCTCGTTTGTCGATCATGCAGGTGTTGAAGTTAGAGACACAGACGCTAATGGCTTCTAACAAGGAATTGCAGGCTAAACTGGAAGATGCTGAGAAAACAAATCGCGGTGTTTTGGACAAGGGTAAAGTTTGCAAATTGATGCTTCACCACTGACAGCTTCTCTAACTCCGTCCATCCGTTCGTGAAATTTCAGAATCACAGTTAAGGGAAGCCTGTCCGAAGGTGGAAGCGGAAAAGATTCAGCTTGCTAAGAGAAGCAGTGATGCTAAAGAAAAGGCCAAAGGCCTTGTTGACAAATGCATGGACCGTGATGAAAAGGTGAAGGAGCTCGAGCGATCCTTGGATGCCTCAATGGCGTCCTTGCAATGTGCTACCTCGGAGGTGGAAAAGGTATGTATGAAACGCCGTGATCCGTCTCTTCTTTTATGAACACATTCTTATTCGTGGCTTGGTTGCGTTCTGCAGTTAAAAACAAGACTTAAAGTTACTCAAAAGTATCTGGAGCGCAAAAAAAAAAGAATATTTCGGACAAAAATGAGGAAGTTGCTAATCTTACAAAGAGTTGTGCATCCAACGAGGAGATGCTTTCAGTTCTCAAGGAACTTTCAGTTCTCAAGGAACATGTATCTGTTGCTACTCCTTTCTTCTTCTTCTTCTTCTTCTTCTTCTTCTTCTTCTTGTCTCACTTCAGGCAACGAATTATGTTCATGTCTTCTCGTTTGTCGGTCATGCAGGTGTTGAAGCTAGAGACAGACGCTGACAAGACAATCATCCCGTGTTTCGGACGAGGGTACCGTACAGTTTGCAAGTGAATCCTTCTTCACCAGTGGCACGCTTTCTGACTTCGTCCACCTCGTTCTTGAACTTTCAGCCACACAGTTCTAGGCATGGTGCCAGAAGCTTCAAGCAGAAAACCGTCAGCTTGAGAAAGACCTTACGCTAGCTAAAGAAGTGCTTAACGAGGTAAGTAATGGTTTTTTCCTATTATTATTGTTTTTACATTCAGCTGTTTTCTAAGGCCAATTTCCTTGGTGGTCCTCTTGCTGTTTAGATTCTTATGAAGACCCAACATACTATTACCAGACAGCTCGTAAACTGACGATAGTGCAAAGGTCGAAACCGGTACTTGAATCAGAATCTAGAATTTGAAGAACTGTCTTAATGATCGGAGTCGCCATGCGTAGTCTGCATGAACTTTCAAGTTTTAAGTTCCGACACGCCCTTATGAGCTCCACATCCACTCCACCTTGTTCTCTGCATGCACATGTGGCAAATGCATGTACCGGTATATGCACACATATACGGCAACGCATTTGGCATTCAAGCACTTACCGTAAGAAAAATATTCATTTCACATATACTTTGCATACACAGAGATGCGCAGATACCACACAGATGCACGCATAGAGAATGGCAGAAACAATTGAGCATGGAACATTTGAGGTTAAGGAAAGGCAGAATGGCTTTGATGCACAGAGATGCACACATTGCACACATATGCACTAATAGAGAATGGCAGAAACGTTCGGGCATGGAACACTGAGATTGAGAAACTGTGAGATCAACAAGCAATATACAGCAGCGGAGGATGTGATGCACTTGTTAGAAAGAACGTTTCAATCCGCATTGAGTGACGCTGTGCTGTCGTGTTCGACATGGTTGCAAAACACATGGAAACGAGACTTGAGGTGTCGCCTCTGCTTTTCTGCTGTGGCCTGCCACACCGCCATCGCCTTGCCATCCGCCAACAGTGGGGACGCTGTGCTTTGAACCTGCACTACCAATGCAGCCACGAGTCGCGATCACCGTAGCCTCGTGGCATCAGCTGTGATCCCATTCGACACTTTGACTGGGTCGATACGGAGCATCTAAGTGCTTCAAGTGGAGCTGGAGCACGAGGAGCAGGGCTACGACAAGCCGCCTGAAGTGCGTCTCTCCGCTAGTGGTGAACGCAGCGTGAGCAGACGCTGAAATTGACATCGTTAAGCTCCTACTGCGCTGATCCCTGCATGCACTACGAGATCGAGGGCCCTGACTAAAGGTTTTTTTAGCTGAAATAACTCCACAGCTAGACCCGTCAGTGTTTTACACATGCCTTGTCCCTCCTCCTGTCCCCCTCACATAACGTTCATCACTTCTTTAATATCTCGACCCATCATTCATTCAAACCCCCCCACAGCAATCCCTCGTTCCCCCATCCCCCTTTGCCATATCCCCCCATGTCCCCAGGACCTGTAAGAGCACCTCTCGCGGAGTGGACAGTGGAGGAGCAGGTCGGCACGATTGACGTGGTGCCGCGCAGGTCGTTCCAAGGGGAGGCAATATCTGTCGTCGCGGAATTTGCAAACAATAAGGATGCGTACCTGGAGGAGGGAGGGGGAGAGCGAGGAGCGCGGGGGAAGGGGGAGAGGAAGGGGTGGGAGAGAGTGAGGTGAAGCGCCTGACAAACAAAGCGGAACAGCCGGAGCTGGAGATGGACTATTTGGTGGACGGTAACAGTTGGCTCGTTGGGGACTGCGTCTGGACTGGAGGACCCCCAGGTGCCGGCATTCTCTAAAACATGCTTGATGAACATAAACAGAGAAGCGCGGATTCGATGAGGCGATCATGGTAACGAGCTGATAAACGAAGAGAAACAACATTGTTGGTAAAATATCGTCGGTATTGTCTGACGGTAGTCATCTCGCCTTGAATGGAAAGATGGTTACTTGGCGCATTCGTGCACTCCATGCTACGGCAACATGCTCGTCATGTATGAGTCAGCCCAATCAAAATATGAAGGCAGCAATCACAGGAAATGTACATGAATGGCATGCCTGAAAGAACATTGCGAATCGCGGGTAAGCATGCTCAGAACAGTTTTCCTACATCAGGGTACTACCACCTTGCGAATGTCTCCACCCAATCCTTAAGCATCTTGAGCTGCTTGTCCCTCCCCCTGCCGCCCCCTCCCCTGCCACCTCCCGCATCCGAACCCGTCGCAGTCTCGTCCGAATTCCTCCTTCTCCCCGTCCGCTAAAGCCACCCCTCCCTCCACCCACTCGTCGAGCGTCTTGAGCTGCTTCTCAGTCAACCCCTCAAGCGAACCTCCGACACCATCCATGGTTATCGTCGCAACGAGTTGAAATGTTGACGGGGGCTTGGCGTTGGCCGTTGCTCGTTGCACGGTGAGAAACACACGTAGAATTGACGAGGCTAGTCGCTCCTGGAGGTGGAAGGAGAGTGAAGACGGGCAATGACGGTGTGTGACGTGACGAGAAGACATGGACGGGAGTGACTACAAAAAAAACTGGATCTTGGGCGGACGAAATGGAAGTCACGAAAGTGGATTTGCAGAAAACAACTGCAGTGGCGGGATGATTCGTTGTTGGTCTTATTCGTGCTCGTTCGAAAAACACAAGAATTTGCTCCTCTTCACTCACCGCCTGATCTGCAGTCAGCGTCTATCACGAGCGCCACCACATGGCACCACTTCCCGACTCCCTTCAACCCCTGCGCCCTGCCTCCTGTCCCTTGCCTGCCACTCCCCCCCCCCCCCGCTCCCTTTCCACTCCCCCCACCCGCTCACTCACTTCCTAATCTGCGTTCGCCTGCGATGGCATCGCCACTGTCAGCCCTGGCATGTGGTGAAACACCTGGAGGGGGAGGGGGGGAAGGGGTTGGCGTGAGTATGTGAGCAGTGCAAACACAGATTGAAAAGGGGATGAGTTGACTCATCATAACTCATGCTTACAGTGGTTGCGGTGGCACCGCCACTGTCAGCCCTGGCGGGCCCAGAAACACCTGGGGGGAAGGGGAAGAGGGCGGTGAGTGAGGGGGGAGAGGGAGGGAGGCAGGAAGAACTCCCTGCGACTCTCCTTCACCTTCCCCGCGTTCCCCCTCCCCATCCTCTCCGCTGCTCTCCCCCGCGTCGTCCCCCGCCTAGTGTCGTTTCCCGCGGCTCATCCCCGCGACGAACCGCCCACTGAGAATCGCGTCCGCGATCTGCTTCACGTTGCGCAGATCCTCCTCAGATGCCACGCTGTACCCGCTCATGTCGTCCTCGTCAGCGTCACCGCCACAATCGTCCCCGTTATTGGCTTCCGCGTTACTAACACCCTCCACGTTACTAACACCCTCCGTATTACTAACACCCTCCGCGTTACTAACACCCTCCGCGTTACTAACACCCTCCGCAGCGATTACAACCTCACTGGCACGAGTACTCTGCTCGGTGTTGACAAGGTTTCCCTCTCTTGATTTCCCTTCTTTCGCTGTCCCTCCCCCTGTCGCCCCCTCCCCCCCTGCCTCTCCCCGCACCCGACCCGTCACTGTCTCGTCCGCAATTCCTCCTTCTCCTCGTCCGCTAAAGCCACCCCTCTCCGCGCCTTAACTTTGCGATCCTCTTCCCGAACCTCATCCCAACCCCTTCCCTGTCCCTCCTCTCTTCCGTCATCAAGATTGCCTCTTCCTTCTCATTCCTCCTCTACTTGAACCAACATCGCGCCATAGCTCACACGCACATCCCCCCCATTCTCCTCCCCGCCAACCGCTCTCTCGCCCGACGGTCCAGATCTCTCCCCGGCAACCGGCGGCTCCGATCCAACGGCCGCGACGGCTCGAGAAGAGTGGATAAGCCGGGAAAGCAGAGTGGACGAAGCGGGGAACACTGATACATGACTATGCCAAGGAACAAGAGTGCGGTTGCTGTAGTAATGATGATGACTACTGCTAGACGACGCAGGCTGCGGTGACGAGCGAATGACGCGGGGCTACCGGGGGCGCGGCGGCCGCCCACCCGCGGAGGCCGGGGTCCACGCCGGGGAGGGCCGGCGGGCGCGGCGCGGGGGGGGGCAGGGGCGCGGCGGCCGCCCGCCCGCGGAGGGCGGGGGCCGCGCTGGGAAGGGCCGGTGGGCGTGGGTCGGGGGCCGCGCCGGGAAGGGCTGGTGGGCGTGGGGCGGGGCGGGGGCGCGGCGGGCGGGCGGCCGAGGGCCGCGCTGGGGAGGGCCCGTGGGCTCAATGCGAAGCGGGCGCGGTGGAGGCCAGGGGCCGCGCCGGGGAGGGCTGGTGGGCGCGGGGCGGCCAGCGGAGGCCGGGGGCCGCGCCAGGGAGGGCTGGTGGGCACGGGGCGGGAGCACGGCGGTCGCCCGCCCGCGGAGGCCGGGGGCCGCGCCAGGGAGGGCCCGCGGGCGCGGCGCGGAGCAGGGCGGGGGCGCGGCGGCCGTCCGCCCAAAAAGGCCGAGGGCCGCGCCGGGAAGGGCACGTGGGCTCAGCGCGAGGCGCGGGAGCGGCGGCCGCCCACCCACGCAGGCCGGGGGCCGCGCAGGGGAGGGCCAGCGGGTGTGGCGTGGCGCGGCGAGGCAGCGGCGCTGGGCTGGGGTGCGGCGGCCGCCCGCCCGCGGAGGCCGGCGGCAGCGCCGGGGAAGGCCGTCGGGCGCTGTGCAGCGCGGGGCGGTGGTGCGGCGGCCGCCCGCCCACGGAGGCCACGGGCCGCGCCGGGGAGGGCCGGCGGGCATCGGTGGTAAGCTGGATACAACACCCTCAACATTTGCTAAAATTTGCCTGTACATTGGTAACAATCCACAATCCACAAGAGGGGCTTCACCAGTAGGAAACGTGCCATCATTTCGTGTGTCAATGCCCTGTTCAAAGGGCTCTCTGGACAAGCTTGTGCATTCCGCCCTGCAGCATTGTATTCGTCACATGGTGCGCAATCCAAGCAGCCGAACGCTTGGGCGAGACGCCCACCCATGAAGCAAGGTCTCACAGTTTTCTCTTCAAGAGCTGCAACGACACAACACCTACTGCAGACTGCAGGAGATTCGTTTCTGCTGGTCATCGGTGGATTGGCAAGAATCTGTTGTACACGATAGCAGTAAATCGTCGCCGTCTTATGCTCTGCCACCTCCAGCGTCGTCAAGCTCTCCTCCAACTGGGCGATGTAAAGGTCATCTGTCGCTTTGTTTGTCTCCATGATGAATCGCCATGGTTGGTAGCCTGCGTCCACTCGAAATCGACATGCCTTCAACGGGATCTTTACAATTAGACAGTAGCATCGTGTTATCACCATGAAAGTCAGCAGCTGCACTGATGGGAATCGCGCATATCGCGAGCCGTCACTAAGCAGAGGAATACTGGTCAATCAGTCAATGAAGCGTTTCAGTTGAGAAATTTTTTACTGTGTGTTGATGGATTCAACCCATGTCGCCAAGTTGTGGCGTCCTTTGAGCGGCTTTGGCACCACGATCTCGTTAGGCGAAAATTTGAAGTAATCCAAATTTCGGAGCAATTGCACCGTCCTTCGAAGTCTACGGGAGGAAGTTCGTCGAATTGCCGACAGAGTTGACTGCATCGTTGCAACCAGCCAATGATCGTCCTCTGCCAGCCTCCATCCTCTGCATCGAGTCTTCTTCTTTGACGAAGCTCGTGCCACCACCGTTTATAACTTTTTCTTGTCGTAGAACATCACGACTCTTTCGCAATTTGTCTGCTGCCAAACGTTTGACGTTGTCGCAGTCTCTTGATGCTTCGGACTCACGGATGGTCTCTCGCCCTTCGAGTTCGAAACCTCATTTCAAGAAATCCAGCTCCTCCTTGGTAAGACTTCCACCTAGACGGGCCACCAGGGATGCCTCCTGTATCGCCATGTCGTCGAAATTGTCGAGGGCGTTGTCCTCCATATCGACGAATTGTGTCTTCGACGGGGCCAAACGTTTTAGTGTCGACGTGTATACCTTGCGTGTTTGATGCACGCTCATCGCACCTAGCAGAGATTAACTGTTTGACGGGGAGATTTCTACAGAAATGCCTGGTCATGCAGAGTAGCAACTATGTAGTTCACTGAGGAGTTGGTGGTGTGGTTTTTGTCAGAATCAACAGTGCAGGAACTGGTGCATTGAGATTAACAGGCAGTACAAATAGTCTTAACCCTAGTTTGTTGTACCCCTTGTAGGCTAACGCACTATAGCCTAGAGATAACACAAACATATAGTTTGACACACCCCCATAGGCTAAGTGGGAGATAGCGAACACAACAGACGGTCACAAGACCAGTCAAGCAAGAGAACAAGCAAAGCAAAGCTCAGGGTGGATCTCAAGGACACCACACAATCTGAGCACAAGCAAGCGGCCACAAGGCCAGTTCACATGTAGAGTTATAATAGCAAGGCAGTACACTGATCACAACCTAGCAAGAGTAAACAAGCAGGTATAAAGATATATATCAGTATACAACAAGAGCAAGTCAAGCAACTAGCAGGTGAGGCAGAGTGGGCACAAGCCCAAGAGCAGTGCAGAAACGCTGATGATCACCAGACCCAAGGGCCTTGGTGAACACATCAGCAGTGTTGGCCCGAGAGGCCACGTAAGCAAGGCGCAGCTGCCCACGCTGCCGCAGCTCACGCGCAAGGAAGTAGCGATGAGCAATGTGCTTCGTTCTGTGCTCCAGTCTCTGCTCACGACACAAGGCAAGCATTGCCTTGTTGTCGACGTACAGAACTGGAGGAGAACGTGGCCGCTCCCCCAAGTCGGTCAGCAGGTAGGTCAGCCAGCGTAGCTCCTGTGCAGCCATGGCCCCAGCGTAGATCTCGGCCTCGCAGCTGGAGCCAAGCACAGAAGAAGAATGAGTGGACCTCCACGAGACAGAACCAGAGCCAAGACTGAAGGTGTAACCCTGTGACGACCGCTGAGTCGCCTGGTTGTCGGCCCAAGAAGCGTCAGAGTGTCCTGTGAGGACCACTGAACCCCGTCCTCCAAGCACGAGCCCCATGCCCGATGTACTGCACAAGTAACGCAGTACCCTCTTCGCAGCATCAAAGTGCACCTTTCGGTGTCTACCGGGTTTCGTGCACCAGTCACGAAAGAAGCAACGTGACGCTCCTGAGTCAAGCGTGAAAGTGTGCAAGGCCTCAGCTGAGGCAGGACCTGTGGCAGTAGACGCACTAGTACCTAGAGCGTCAGCAGACTCACAAGCACATAGAGTTGCAGCAGACTCACTAGCACCTGGAGCGGCAGCAGACTCACTAGAACCGAAAGCAGCAGGCTCTACACGACCAGGGACGCATCGCTGAGTAGCACAGTCGCGAGGTCGCTGAGGCCACATAAAATCAAAGCCTCCACCACCTAGACGAGCTCGCCGAATAACCCACTCACGAAGCTGCTGAGGGGTGGGGTCGTCCGGGAGAGGTAGGGACCGCTGCTGTCCACCCCTAGCCGCTGCAACTGCCTCGATAGTGGCCATGACAGGCAGTGACGGTCAGTAGTAGGTCCAACACCTCCAGCACCAGCAGCACCTCCAGTACTCCCAGCCGCACCTCCAGCACCTCCAGCAGCACCTCCACCAGCAGCAGCAGTAGTACTAGCAGTTGTAGCAGTAGCAGTAGGAGCAGCAGTAGGGCAGCAGCAGCAGCGCTTAGGAGAAGCAGCAGCTCATGCAGCAGCAGCAGCAGCAGCTCATGCAGCAGCGGCGCGCTGGGCAGCAGGGCGCGCTGGCGCTTTTAGGGTTGCGGGGCGCGCTGGCACGCTTAGCAGCAGGGCGCGCTGGCGCGCTGGGCTGCAGGGCGCACTAGCGCGCTGGGCTGCGGGGCGCGCTGGCGCGCTTAGGGCTGCGGGGCGCGCTGGCGCGCTTCGAAGTGGGGCGCGCTGACGCGCTTCGCAGTGGGGCACGCTGGTGCGCTGGGCTGCGGGGCGCGCTGGCGCGCTGGGCTACAGGGCGCACTGGGCTGCGGGGCGCGCTGGCGCGCTAGGCTGCGGGGCGCGCTGGCGCGCTTAGCAGCGGGGCGCGCTGGTGCGCTGGGCTGCGGGGCACGCTGGCGCGCTGGGCTGCGGGGCGCGCTGGGGCAAGAGCTGCTCGCGGGCAGAAGGGGCGCTCAGGGCAGGGGCTGCTCGTGGGCAGCAGGGGCGCTCGGGGCAGGGGCTGCTCGCGGGCAGCAGGGGCGCTCGGGGCAGGGGCTGCTCGCGGGCAGCAGTGGCGCTCGAGGCAGGTTCTGCTCGCGGGCAGGAGTGGCGCTCGAGGCAGTGGCTGCTCGCGGGCAGCAGTGGCGCTCGAGGCAGGGGCTGCTCGCGGGCAGCAGTGGCGCTCGAGGCAGGGGCTGCTCACGGGCAGCAATGGCGCACGGGCCAGAGGCTGCACGCGGGCAGCAGGGGCGCGCGGAGCAGGGGCTGCTCGCGGGCAGAAGGGGCGCGCGTGACAGCAGGGCAGCGTGCTAGGACAGGCAGTGCGAGTAGCTACAGCGCAGCGTGACACTGTGCGAGAGGGCCGGACATCGCAAGGGTGTTTCGGGCAGGAACTAGCGGAACGATCAGTGGGCCCTAAAAACCTAACAGGTTTCCTGCTCTGAATACCATGTCAGAATCAACTGTGCAGGAATTATTGCATTGAGATGAAAGGGCAGTACAAGTAGTCCTAACCCTAATTTGTTGTACCCCTTGTAGGCTAACCCACTATAGCCTAGAGATAACACAACCATATAGTTTGACAGTTCCGCTGTGAGAGTTTAGGGTTGAAAGTGCTGAAAGAGTCAATGTTTGCATATCAAGAAAATTCAGTCGAATGTAGAAAATATGGGTAAAAAGGAACTACCCAACCGTTGAACCAAGTAGAGAACGTTCGCACAAGAACGTTTACATAACAACTTTTAGCTGCGATTTGCCTCCTCGGCCACTACACTTGCCTCCATTGTGGAGGAGGAGGAGGAGAAAGGGGGGATGACGAGGACGACGGGTTTCTTCCTAGTCGCCGGCGACTTGCGGCGAGCCAGGCGGCGGCGGGGGGGGGGGGGGGGAGGAGGGGATGGTGCAGGATGATGAGGTTAGCAAGTACCTGTCGAAAGCGAGCGCGCATTCTCCATGTGCCGCAACCTCATCTCCTAGAAAAGGTATCGCCTGAACTCATAAAAGGGTGCGAACTTCCATGATTCTCAGGTCATGGTATACTTCACACCCTAGACAGATGACTGGTGAGGGCCGCCGTCCGAGAGGAATCGCAGCACCAGAGTTAGCACGTGAGGGAGAGGGGGCCGTGGCGGAGGAGGACGCAGTGGTGGGTGGGGGTGGTGCTGATGTCGATAATGCTGCCGAACATTAGGAGTGTTGTGCTGGCCTGCCTTATTATATCATGTCATGTTGTTCACAGTGTCTTTGCTTTCACTCACCACCAGCGTCTTCTCTCACCACCAGCACCTTCTCTCACCACCAACACCTTCTCTCACCTCCAGCACCTTCTCTCATCACCAGCACCTTCTCTCACCACCAGCACCTTCTCTCACCTCCAGCACCTTCTCTCACCTCCAGCACCTTCTCTCACCATGAACACCTTCTCTCACCAATAGCACCTTCTCTCACCTCGAACACATTCTTTCACCAATAGCACCTTCTCTCACTAACAACACCTTCTCCCAGAGAGTGTTATGCTGGCTTGCCACATCATTTCACGCATGTTGTTGTTATGCATGTGCTGGCTTCTTTAAACACCAGACATGGTTACATTTTAAAAGCACTTCATAATATTAAACATGTT